CCCCCCCCCTCTGCTTCCTTCCCCTGCGCGTGCTCAGCCCGATCTGAGCATGCGCAAGAAGAAGCAGAGGGGACGGTCCGACTGGAACACTGGGGCGTTTTTCAAGGTATGATATAGGTTACGGCACAGGAATATGTGGGTGACAAGAACTGCTAGCTGCTGATAAGGGGAGTCAGAGTGGAAAGGGACAACATACTCTACGCGAGAGATAAGCATCAGTCGGGTGCATGGTTGATTTTTTTCAGCAAATGATTTTTTTGCTTTTCAACTTTTAATCACTGATGAGAACGAATAACGAAGTAGTCTGTAAGATATTCAACGAACGCAGCCTAAATATTGTCATCTGCAGCCATTCATGCAACCTTAGCAGGTGGATTGCATGTTAATGACAAGTTAATCGCCCATCGTTGGTGTTGTGATGCAGGTAAATAAAAACTTGGCACTATTTACCCTTTACTGCCCCAACAATCCCGAATTGAGCCAGTTTCTGACCGACTTTTTTCTCCGTGGATAGATTTGGCTCAAATGTTGTCTCCTGGGGTATTTTGACCTCCTGAATACGAATAAGACATTCGCATAGCCGAACTTCTGGCGCCCGCGCACAGCGCCGGTGATCTGGGGTATTGGCGCCAGCACCTGTAGCGCGGGCGGCAGGAGGTTTTGCGCTGAGCGGATGTGATATTCGTGATCAGGGGGTCAAACCACCCCTGGGAGCAAGTTTTCAGCGAATTTGGTGATTTCGAGTATTTTGGCGCCGGCGCCCGTGGCGCGGGCGCCAAGAGTCGAGCTCGGAGCGAATGCGATATTCGTGTTCAGCGGGTCGAACTACCCCTGGAGCCAAGTTTTCAGCAAATTCTGCCCACGGAGAAAAAAGTCGGTCAGGAACTGGCCTGATTTCGGATGACTGGGGCAGTAAAGGGTAAATAGTGCCAAAAAATTTCTTCATCTACTGTGCAACACATGTTGATTATTCTTTCTTCCTATATGTGTCCAGATTCTACGCGATTAGAATGGTGGAGGTGAGCAGCTTTTCTTTAATTTACTCTGTCTTTACTATTATGCATTCGCCATGTAGCGCGCAGTATGCCAGTCAGGGCAAATTAACAAATTCCATCGCCGTGTATTGATATGCGGCTGCCTAAGCCAGGCCAGCTCGAGCGAGCCGAGCTAAAAGAAGGAGGAGCTCGGCCGTGAAGACCGGGGCCGATGCCCGAGCTGGTTAGTTAAAAAAAACAGTAACGATCTACAACACTGATATTTAAGACTCCGTAGATATTTCGGTTTTAGTTTTGCAGTTGATGTATGTTGCTTTCATTTCGTATCATTTTTATTGTGAAATCGCAAGAAGTGAGGAATGTGTCCCGAGCTATCATTATGATGCGGCGGCATTCGGAAATCTGTTGCGCTATCCAATCGTTTTAAAGTAGAAAGTGGCTGATAAAACTACTCCGGACCAGCTTGCGATGATGCTGAAAATTAATAGTTGTCCCAAAATTGATTTTTTTTTACTTTTTCCGTAGCTCTTATGCTCGGCAGTGTCCCGTTTTTTCGCACTTTCCAGCACTAAACTCCGTCCTTGAAGAGAGAAAAGAAAAAATTGTCTGTAGGTGGAAGTCATGTGGTTTTGCAGCTTCATGGAAGTTTTAGAACGTTGCACAACTTTGTCATTGCGTTGACAGTGCTTGACAATTTGGCTCCCTATGTTGACAGTATATAACAATATGTAGCGGACACTATTGCCGTTAATTAAGAACTCTACCTTCTCTACCTTTAATTCTACCTTTTCTAGAACTCTACCTTTATCATTCCAGTAGTTCGGTTTGGCCAACATGCAGACTTTCATCAGTGCATTAGATGGCGGAATATGTCGCCTCGAAGTAGCACCGGAAACCGTCGTTTCGCAGATTAAGGTATAAGTTTTGTAGTTACTGCACATGTTTAAAAACTCTACTGCACTTTCAGCCCCTATTTCCTCATCTTGTTTGTTTTTCAGCTTGTTCTAGAGTCTCAGGATATCTGTCAGCCGCGAGCCCTCCCCTTCCCTCTCTTTTCCTTCCTCCTTCCTTCTTGTTTCTTCCTTTCTTCTACTGTCTCCTGTTTTCTATCTTTCTCTTCCTAAAGTTCTCGTAAAGAAGATGGAGATGAGAATAACAACCTCTGCGACCCTAAAAGCGACGAGAGGTACCGTGCTGATCGGAGATGTTCTTGTAACCCGTTGTTCGCTATCCCGATTCCCTCATACAGCGAGCGTGGCTATTCCCCTGAAAAAGGCCAACAAGCTGTGAGTTGCGAATGCTGATCAGGGAGGAGTCAGCTTGTCTTTTCAGAAGTTGGTACTCTATTAAGAAGACCCGTGAAACGAAAAGGCAAAACGAAAGAATTGCGTGAAGACGACATAAAACGGTTCTCAGTTCTATGCCGTGTGCTTCGAAAGGACAGGTTCGATCCCATGAAGCATGTCGTAACAACAGAAATCAAGTCTGCTTTAGGAAAGCTTTATTGTAGAGGGACGAAAACGACCAAGAAGCCTGACTTCGATTAGCGCGGCAATAAGCCGAGCAGCGCCCCACTGTGCTATGATGCACGAGTTTTTTTTTGGTTAGTCATGGTGTTGTGTGCAACTTAGAGAAATTCCTGTGATTGGTTATTTCATAAGTAGTTGCTTGTTTTTAAGACTTTCTTGTACAAGTGAAATTAACAAGAATTAAAACTGAAAACGATCTATCGGAGCCTCTTACTTTTTACACTCCATGTTATTGTTATTCAAAGCTATAGCACTTGTTGTTCTTGTTGGGGTTTTCCCTTTTCCTTTAATTTGTGAATATGAATAGATATAGGGTGATTGGTGTTCATGATGTTCCATAATAAACCGTCGTCAGCTGTAGACCACGAATCTGAAAGTTTAGCTGATTTCGAAGCTTGATTCAATATGTGCAGTACACAAAGCTTGCCCACACAGTGGTACCGTTGATGCGATCTTGCGAAGACAAAATTGAGCCTTCTGAACGAGCGATACGCCGAAAAGCATGATTTTTGTACGTCGCAAAAACTACGGGACTATCCGTTAAGGGGTGGCTCGATTACGTGATGAACTGAAGGGAACTACACACATGACCACGGCGTACAAAGCATCCCGGTGCAAAAACTTCTATTGGATACAAATTTGAACGTCCGAAACAGTCAGGTGGTGTGTTTCTCATGGTGGTGAAGCTCCCGTAGTTGGGAAGTGAAGACTGGTTTTATAGGCAAGGGAGGTGGGAAGCAACCTGTTTCCCTACATGAAAAGTTATATACTCATAACACAGAGGCACACGGCACATCGCTGTTGGAGATTCCCAAACGGTAGAGGTGGTTTAGGGGGAAGGGGGGGGGGAGGGGGACGTTGAGTGCACTTGAGAGGAATCTTCCGTCTCTTTTTCCGTAGTGTGCTTTAACATCACTTCGTAAAACAACAACTCCTAGTGTTAACGCAGTCAAACAGCTTTGCATCAGTTTATCTGTACACTGTACTCACTACAAAACTGAGCCGAGAACATCTTAGCATTTCTTCTACAAACCGGACAGAGGGGCAACAACATGGAAAGGTAACGAGAGATACCGGAAATCAAGTAAAAAATCAATAAATGCATAATAAAGTTAAACCGTTAATCTTGAGGTAATAGTGAAATGAGGCTTATTTAAACAAACGGTTCCAAGCAATGTTGCCCTAATAGAGGAATTTGATACTAAGGTTTGTTCTTGAAGCTGAAATGAGATAGAGCACAATCGTGTAGCACTAATAATTTTCGAAGAACAATAATCAGCTTTGGTACCCTTTTTTTCAAAGAAAACAAATGCAAGAGCTTAGTAATGTGGATTTTTATGTTGCCCTCAAGTCCGGTAGATAAATCCGTCATTAGGCAACTCCGCGCGACGCCGGGGTTGCCGCGCGCCCAATTTAATGAGACTCTTAAAGTTCAAGTCAATGGTTTCTTCCCAAAATGCCGGGCTAAAAAGCATTTTCAGCTGATATGGTCACAGAGAGAAAAGACTGTTCCCCACAGGAAGACTCCTCAGCCGCTAGTTACTTCTCTGCGATTTCGCGCGCGCTTATCTGATGGTGGACTTATCTATCGGACTTCAGGGTAGTTTCTACTTGACCACTACACGTTCCTGGTTGTGGTGAGCTTCTTCTTCGACGGAACATCGGACAGATAAATAAACCAGGTTGTTAGACGAACCTCCAAATAATTTTTTCAGTGACGAATTTGGCCATTCGTCTACAATACATTGTAATGGTTGCAGTCCGTATAGACGCAAGACTCCGTCGCAAAATCTTTCCGGATCTGATCATCTCCGTAGGCGCGCGACTTCTTCTAATGATATCCTTTTTATGGAGGTGTTTTGGTCGCGCGTGAAAGTCGAGTATTCACTGCTGACTTCAGTGTGTGGTTGAAACTTGCTGCTTCAGCACGAAGAAGAGCTCATTTTGCCTCTACAACTTGACCACGGAGTTCGACCAAAAGAACTCCCATGCGGGAGTATTTCACACATCCCAGCAGGAAGGGCCTGAAGCGATCCCAATAGTCTGAAACGAAGAGTTGAGAAACTGAAAAGATGAAGAAACCAGAACTCAACATGACACACAGTGGTAAATGTTTCAAACCTGTCGAATGACTCCGCAACATGTTGTGCTTAGCTCGAAGATTCCAAATTTTTGCCGCATTTGCTTAAACGGTCCTCTATACCAATTTGTGTACAAGTATCTGAGGAACGTGGCACAGTTCCTACCGTGTTCCCCGCAACTGGTGCACAAAATAAAGCGGGAACCTTAGGGTGCAGGTATACTGGAAGGAAGATCAACCTTTCAATAGTTGACCACTAATTTTGAATATACCTACACCCTAAGGTTCCACTAATATAAGGGCGAAACCCAATCCCCAGTACCTATTCCACGCTTGGGCTAGGTGGAAGTCGGACTGTCCAGATCTCCCGGACGCTCCTCGTCCTTGTGCCATTTATTACCTAGCTATGGTCCTTCGACGTGACTCGTAACCTTCGCAATAAAAATGGCGCAGCATTTCACTTCGCTTGTCATCATCTGAAAATGATAATGAGCCTTCATCCAAATGGTACAATACTGCTCACCTCCTATCCCTCCATGATAAACATGCTCTGCTACTAACCATAATTGCCTGGGTTTTATCTGGGCGAGCAGGGGTTCATTGGGAATACTCTGACACGATTTAATGCAGGAGTTAAGCCTTGCAATAAGGAGCAGATATGGAAATGTTTGTTCCCTGCCTGATAAAGGAATCGATGACTATCTTGCGATGTTTTCCAAGGTAAACACGCATGGGGAAGTAGCACAGGGTCGGCGACGAGTTCACACCCATTTAATACCTGAACAAATGCACCATGGAGCACGCACTCTCAAGTTTATGAAGATGAGTTCGATACCGCCACGCTGGTCGTTACGCCTCTCTTCTTGCAAACCGTGCAGCGGCATACGACTTTCCCTTGCAACGTCGCATGCAATGAGGACATAGCAGAATGGGCGACCTCTAGAAAGTGTCTCAAGCTATTGTTGTGCTGTGTTCACTATGAGTTACTTGATTAATTTAAGAAGCTCTTCCTGAAACACTCAATTCAACCACTCCAATAAACACATCACCTACGACACGATTATAGTCACGTTACCAGGGCACGCTGGACAAGGATGCCTTGATTCAGCATTGTGAGTGGGAAGGACAGATGCATCGAAGCGAAATTGAATGGTGGTAGCAGTGCTAACATTGCACAGCGAACTCCGAGGCGGAAGATCAATCTTTACAAATTACAAATACTCACGAGTGGGCTGTCGTTGGTGATGCCATATTTCATACTCCTGAATCATTCATGGTCCCTAGAATTAGGGTTCGTGGTCATAGCGATTCCGACCACATGGCGCCCATACATACTGATTCGTGTATGATGAGCCACGACGACATCATTTAAAAAAGGAAGGAGATGAAACGACTGGAGGGAAACCGTGCACAATAATGAGGACATTGAGTAGGACAATGAAAAACCAAAAGGAAATTAGGACAGTGATTGAACGAAACGATTCAAGAGAACAGTAAAATGAACTGGCGCGCAGTCTGAATTTCCCGCGCACGGCGACGTGGCGTCCACACTGGGGATCTTCCCACGCTCGTCGTGAGACGGCGCGCCGCGCGCGACGCCGCAAACTACGATCCTCTTTTTCCGTCTCCCCCCCCCCCGCCACCAGAAGCGCGCATTGACGCGCACGGCCCCTTGGGTACTTCTCCAATTTTTTCGGAGGCGGCCTCTGTAGAGTTCATCGAGTTCTCTTTCGAGGTCCTTGATATATTATTATTGTTGCCCTCTGCGGCGTTGCTCTTCTTCGTATTGGGGAGACGTGCAACAGAATCGTCCGAAGCAGCGCCCGCGGTTCGCTGCGTGTCGCGCGGCGATGACTCAGCAGCTCACTTACGTGCATTTGCTAGCCGATAGCTTTGCGACTGGAGCATGATTTACTGCAGCGTACATCCGCAACATTTAGCAGGTTTCCATCAATGATTGAAAATCTAATGATGTTTTCTTGATAGTAACACACAATTGTTTGGCGGTTCCATAAACGCAACTTCAGGAAATAAACAGATACAAAAGAAATCAGATAAGGCCGTGATTCTCCCTATGTTTATGTGGTTCACATGATTTGCGCAGTCGCCAGCGTCAATATAATAGACGGATGGCCAAGTTTTTCTGTGAGCTGCTGTAAAAGATGACAAACCAGAGCAAATGTTAAAGACCCCAATGAATTTCGTGCTCTATTGAACTTTTTCATACTCTAACTGAAAACTTGACCGTAACTGAACACAAGACTCATCCTCGGTGATATCAATATTTATTAAATTTTATTTATTTATCGATTCGGGTGATATCAATATTTACCTTCCCTTCAATAACCCTATTCAAACCGCCAGAAGCACGCTTCGTCTTCTCGCCGCAAGTATGTCGCAGGCCACGCCCACCAGCTGCACCGGACGATTCTGTTGCTACACACCCCTCGTATTGCGCTTGCTCACGCCTAATTCGTTCTTGATCTTCTCTCTCATGAAGGCTTCTGCATTCAGCAGCCTTCACATTTTTTGATATGTCGAGTCAAATAGCATGAATCTCTGCGCAAAGCTCAGGAGCTTCTCTTTAGCGTATGTGGCCGTTTTCCACATGCGTGAAGTAGACACAACCAGTTCCCCTGCTGTGAATGTTGCTCCAGTTGTCGTCAGGAGATGATGTGTCCATTGATCATTCAGAGTCCACGCCATCTGAATGTGGGTGCGAATTTGCTCAAGAGTGGCAGTTATATGGCTTTCTATATCTCCTGCTGTCGTTCTGTTCTTGTGGAGGGTGGCAAGAAAGTGGAAATCATTGAAGTACGAGTTTCCGTTCTTCCATGACGTGGGTGGTGTTTCTGAAATAGTGGAAATCAAATATTGAAAAAGAACTAAATTTGGTATGACTATTGAGTTATCTAACTAGTTCTAGGGTTATTGGATGCTTTCCTAGTTTTACAAGCTGCTTTTTATGCGTATTTTGGATTTTTGAGCATCTCCTTGAGGATGTTCCGAGGATTATTGTACTTATCAAGAAGAAATGTACTGCCTTCTGGTAGTTCCCCATGGTCACTTGGAACCTTTTTATCGCTTCCTCCGCCGGCCCTCGCAACGCATTCAATAGATAATTATATTTGACCAGTTCTGGAAGATTTTGAGTGTATGTTATTGTTGAACAATTCCCAAAAATTCTTCCCATTCCCATCGATTCCCCCCGAAGGTAGGTATGAGAAGTGGTGGAAGTTCCAACTGTTTGGGTTGCAGCTGGGTGGTGGGTAGGTAGTCACCAGCGGGTTCCGTTATTGATTGGAATGACGATGCCTGAGTCATCAAAGAACGCAGTCGAGCT